CAAAAGGAGACCCCTCAAATATTTCTCTCTCTATAAGTTGAAGAAGAAGGGATCAACCTAGGGTTCTCAAGACAAGTCTCCAATTCCTCCATTGAAGTTAAGCAATTGGCATTGAGGTATGATAGTTTTCATCCATGGAGTTCCCAAATTCTCCTATTTTCAAAGTTAGAAATCCCCAATTGAGTTAGGGTTTTCTTCAATTGTCATGGGTTCTCTTGATTACTGCTTTAAATGATTGAATTATGATCTTTGATGCATGAATTGATGAAATACTATGATTTTTTTTTATGATTTCCCCATGAATCCATGTAAATCCCTTGTTTTCCAATTATGATAATGTGATGTGGGTTTTGAATTATCAAAGAGTAGATTATGAATTAAGCATGTTCTTATGAGATTTATGTAAATGTTTTAAGGATGGTTTGAGAGTGAAGTATCAATGATGATGATTGTTATTGTGTTGTTGAAAGGATTTCTCATAAATACATTAAAGTATGATTGTGAAAGGAAATTCTCACATAAAAAAGTCTTAGGGTTGAAAGGTTTTCTCTACTAAACTATGAATCAAAGAGGTTATGAGTTATGCTAATAAGACCTAGCTTGGATCGGTTACTTAATTGTACCTTTCCATGGATGACAAATGACTTAGCTTGGATTGGCCAGATGACGTGCCCTTCCATGGATATTAAGAACAAGTTAAGAAAATGGCTACTCCGTGGGAATTATGCTTAGCACCAAGAGGATATTGAGATGAAGCCTCTCCCGTTAGTAAAGGCTGGTTTTCTAGTAGCAATCTCCTTATCCCTTACCTATGTGCCCCATAGGATGATTTTATAGATAAACATTTGCTAGTGGATCCACAATAGCTAGAAGTTAATGGTCCTTCCTTGGCAAGTAGGACACCCCTTTTTGGTGTGGGGTAGACACCGGATTCCATGTTGATTTCTCATACGGTCTTATATGTCGGTTAAGGCTATTTCCCACAAATAAGCAAGGTTATGATGAACCAAGGTTACTTCAAGGAAGTATCATAAGTATGTTTTAAGATGATGCTCACTTAAATTGATCATGGTTTTATGACTTGTGATCTCTAACTCTCAAGATATATGTTTTAGCTTGATCATTGCATACTCATGAAAATGTCCTATTTTAAGCATGTTATAAAATGTTTTTATCCATGGCTATCATACTTGGTACATGTTTGTACGAACGCATACTTTTGCCTACATTTCCCCAAATGTACGGTCTGACAGTCAGGGTTCTCAATTTTGTTGATAGAGGTTGATTTGTGAGATTTCCAAGCTTTGGTGAGTCCTCATGTTTTGATGATGGATTCTCATTGATTACAGTTTCTTTATTACTTTCAGTTTTGGTCATGATGTATGGGCTAGGCCCAATTTCATTCTATTGTATTAGATGGCTATTGAGACAAATGCTTAAACTTCTGCTTTACTACTATAAAACTTTTGCACTTGAAATGTTGTCTTTATCTCTTTTTTTCTATTTCTTATGTTATGAATTCTAAGTGGCTTGTATGGGGCCTCTCGAGGTCCTATACGCCATGTTACATCTAGGGTGTACCCCTAGGTTGTGACAACATTCAACATACTCTATGTGGGCTCAAGTCCATGGTTCGTTGGACTAAGCACAACTCCTAGAGGTTCCATTAATCACTTCTGTATGGTCACATGACTAGGGAATCTCGAGTGTGGCTAAATATTGTGATGAATTGCTTAATTATGGGCTGCATTACACGAATATCACTCGTGATAGAGTGTATTTTGTTTATGCCTTGATGACAAGCACTGAGTTGAACATTGGCGTAGTGCTCAAATATGCTATGAGAAAGGCCTATGTACATTGAGGTCGCAGGTATGCCTTTGCGGGTCTTATAACTCATTTGTGTCGAGCTGCAAGTGTTCCTCAGAAGAGCTGGATTACATGGCACCACTTCTTCTTGTGCCAGTGGATGTTATAAAGACTAAAGGGCCATGCACTAATTATGGTCCTACCCTCACCTCTGCGGAGAGAAATCGGCCTGATGAAATGATTATGGCTCATATATATAGGCTGGAGATGCTGATGTAAAGCCTCGACTCGGGAGCAACTTATGGAGGTGATAAATAAGTATCCCCTGAATGTGCATGCGTAGGCTGTACTTGGTATCAGACCCGAGATATTTGAGACCATGGATGATTATGTACCCACGGATTAGGATAAGCTTTTCACCGGCTTCGATGTGTATTTTGACTCTGATACAGAGGATGTGGACCCACTTCAGGCTGTGGAAGAGGTTGATGGCATTAAGGCCATGATGGTCTGATCAGGGAGTGTTTCACCTTACCTCTGTACTTGATAGTTCTAATGTTTTGTAGCACTGGGGTCAGTGCTTGTTTTTAAAATGTGTGGTGGGGTGTAGGTTCATCTTTGTTGAATATAGTATTTGATGAATTGTTTAATTATTTTCTTTTGGGTTCCTTGGAGGTTGTTTTTGGTTTTTTGACCAAGGAGAGTCCATTTGAACCGAACAAAATACGAAAATATATTTTTAGGATTGAGTCAGTCGTCGTAGTTGAGTCGCATTGCCCTATGATAGATGTATGCCAACCGTCTTAAGGGTAACTTTCGTCATTGAGTCTATAAGTATGGTGTTTGTGTTAAAGCTTAAAAGCTGGAAGGGAAACCTTGTATGAAAGCATGTGGGTGAATATAGGTGGATGCCTTTGAACTCTTGTGTTTGATTCTAAATTGCAATTTAAGCTTAATTTGAACTTTTACATTAGCTGAGTGTTGTGTTGGATGAGAAAGCTTACTTGAATTGAACTAGTGCCATGTGTGGTGAGACATTGTGTATTTCAGGTATTGCATCTAAGTCTAGAACTTGTCATGCATGTTGTTGAAGCGAAATCAAAAGTATTGCTTTGTTTAAGAGATGATAATAGGCATCCAATGATATGTTCATAAATTTTAGCCTTATCAGATATACTATCACTAGGAACCCCTTTGAGTCTGTAGACTTTTGTTGGTAGCCTCACTTGTACTTGAACTATTTTATTGAATCCCTAGTTGTTTGCACCCTGTTTGCCTAAGCACTGTAGCATATACTACAACATAAAAGGGATTTAGCGGCAATTAAAAAAGGCATTAGTGGCCATAACCAAGCTCTTTTGGCCGCTATAGCCATTACCAGCCAATGTACTTTGGTCGCTGTATCGGGGCCCAGTAAAGGCTTTTGCGGCCTTTTGGACAAAAGCTGGTAAAACCAAGCTCTTTTGCCGCTAAAACTCATTCGATTTAGGGTGTGTTTGGTATGAAGGAAAATGTTTTCCATGGAAAATGTTTTCCTAGAAATTGTTTTCTTGGAAAACAAGTTGATTTTTGACTTATTTTCTCATGTTTGGTTGGTGAGTAGAAAATATTTTCCGGAAAAGATTTTTAGTGTTTGACTTATGAATGAAAAATATCTTTTATTTTAACTAGAGTAGAAAATAATTTTTGAAATTGAAAATATTTTTTAAAAACAAACTTAATTTTTTTTTGGG